GAGATTACGTCTGACCTCACCCTTGTTGTTAAAGAGCACGATGAGTGCCAAGGCGTTTCTCACTTTGCCGGTTTTATTTCTGAGTAGTCTTTGCCATTTCCAATGTCCACTGTGGAGTTGCCCCGGGTAATGTATGACCATATGAACAGTCTTGATAAGCACACCAGAAAGGAAGGGAGGGTATAAAAAACAAAATGCAGGATTGGGTAAAGTAATAGCGGCGACATGAGATTTGAAATAAATAAAAGAAAAATAAAAAAAACATCTTCATTTTACCCCCACCGAGAAGACGGCAATCTCAGATGAAGGGCAGCATGACATGCAAGGTGTCTTGCCGATTAATTTATAGATTCAGTTCAAGTTTGATCTGTTGTGTAGCTGGTAAAGGATAGAGATCAGTGCCCATCCCCGCCTAAGCATCATTAAAGAAAATTGTTGACGTTGACTTTATGGTAACCAACAGCAATAGATCGTTGTCCAATGGATCAGTTCTGCTAAACTATACCGGATTTTTTATGCAAAAGGTAATTTGCCCGGACCCAGGAGGGCCTGCATTCGTTTTCGTGCCTTCCCGATCCCGGGACCAGCTCGTAGGTGTGGCCAGGTGACATGCCTCATCTGGGACCAGACCCGGGGGAGCCTGCATTCGTTTACGCGCCTTCACGATCCCGGGGCCAGCTCGTAGCTGTGTGTAGGTGGACACGCCTCATCTGGGACTCGAACTCGTGACTGCCCTCGTGACACCCGTTACCATGGTAGATGATGGGTTAAGATGTTTTAGCAGCCATGCACTCTACCGATTGCGCCATGAGTGCCCCTCCCACCTTCCGTGGTCACGTGATTCCACTTATAGTAATCAAACAAAAAATTTGAAATGATTTCTATTAGCAAAAGTATCTGTGGACGTTGTGGAATTCGAACCCACGAAGGAGAGTTTTGTTGTATCTCGATGAGCGTATTGACCACGCAACCAGGGAGGCTTCGTTATAAGCACTAGATCAAATGCAAACTTTCTACTTTGTCACGTATAGGGCCGGGCTAGTTTGGATGCACATGTATGTCTGCAATTACGATCGGTTGCACTTGAGCCGTACAACTGTAATTCTTCCTGAACAACGCCATTCCCCGAACATTGTCTTATTTTTGGAAGTTGAAGTTCAAGGTGTTCACAAGGCCTTGTTTGAGAAGCGGACACAGATATCGTTCCTAGATAGATTTTTTTTTGCACTGTGTCTTTGTTTTGAGCTGAAATTTAATTTGGTATCGGCTATGACTGTAAAGAGTAGAATGAGACGGATTTAGTTTTAGCAAGCACCTAAGAAGAGCGAATTATTAAAAAAAAGCTCAAATGTTTTAAAGCTGGCGGGCTTTCCATTCAAGCAATTGCGACGATGTGAATTTTGAAAAAAAAAAAAAAAAAAAAAAAAAAANTGTGTCTTTGTTTTGAGCTAAAATTTAATTTGGTATCGGCTATGACTGTAAAGAGTAGAATGGGACGGATTTAGGTTTAGCAAGCACCTAAGAAGAGCGAATTATTAAAAAAATGCTCAAATGTTTTAAAGCTTGCGGGTTTTCCATTCAAGCAATTGCGACGATGTGAATTTTGAAAAAAAGAAAACATAGTTGGCAGGTAATTCCGCCTTGAAGATACCTTTTCTAACACGCGCCATTAAACGGATTAAATCTCGGCTCCGAGGTTTAATATTTGCTAGGCCCCTGCAGCGATGGCGCGTGTGGAGGCGGAGAGACTATCATCGCTTTTGAAGTGGTTCAGTTAGTACTCGGGCCATCTATTCTGATTTGCTACATAGATAATTATGACCTTGCAGACCGTCATAAATACGTTTATGTTCAGCCAAGAGGACATAAGACACGGTACTCTTCTGGTTACTGTTACTATTACAGACCACGATACATGATTCAAAACATAAGTTTGCCACAGCGTGAGTTTCTTTACCTTTGATGAGAATTCTATTGAACTCCCAATTTGTAATAAAGGACTTTAAAATAAATGTTGAAGATCAAATGCATGGTGATCTTGTCGGACTGCCATATTGGATACAATTTTGCACAGGTTAGGCAAAGAGTTCCTTAAGAGATTGTATGATTTGACCTCAAAGTTGCGGGGAAGCAAAATATATTCCGTTTACACTTTTTAGCTAAAGTCATATCGTTACACACAATCCCATCTAAAGGTGTGCCGCAGGTTCAGCAACAGCAACGGCGGAGATCTTAACTCCTTTAATTGATACCATGGGCAAGATCGAAAACTTCCGCTACATTAAGGCCGCATTCAGTACAGTGGAGTAACTAGTCCGCTGGTCATATATGGACGACCTACTGGAATATGTTACGGTTGCTCAAACATCGCTCAAGGGCCGCCTGCATCGTCTGTAATCGCAGTGGACGCAGTAGGTCACAAAGAGTAGACAATGTCGCTGGTTTGTTAGCGTTCGCCTTATTTTTCTACTTTGGGTATGAGTATGCAATGTCACAAGTGCAAAGCCTCAATGCACTGCTGTGTAAAATGCATCAAGTTAAATTGACCTATTACCTGTATATACTTGACACAAAAATGTTACATGATTTCATAGTTGTAATATTGGTACTGCAGCACATGTAGTACATGAAGATAGAGTGGATAATAAATGTTGATATAAACAGCTAATTCGCATTCTTTTCGCATTTAGTAATGATGGCCCCGGGTGTCGTGATAGAAATACATTACATATATATATCGGCATGCTCTGTAATTAAGGAGTGGACATATATATATAAATAGACTGTGGGCGGCAATCATGTCTTATTTTGCGCACTGAGCCAGGGAATAATCTTCACAAATCCTATTGAAGTCGAACGCTGGTCTTCACTTTGAGACTTGTAATTAATTTTTAATAACCCCCCCCCCAAAAAAAAAAAAAATAAAAAAAAAAATAAAAAAAAAAAAAATCAGCAGAAGGTGATATTGAGTCTGCTTCAAAGCAGAACAAAACGGCCTAGCTGTTTTACTGATGGCAAATGTCATTTAATGGAACGCTGCGCATCCCCTTTAATCCACTCCCTTAAATATATTCTGAATTGTAATCATCATTAGTTAATGTCGAATTGTCATGCTTCGTATGCATTCTTGCTCAGCTCAAATGAGAAATAGTGATACGCTAGATTGGTCGCTGCCCTCGTGGAGGAGACACGCTCATCACGAGATAGGAGAACGCAGGTTAACTGTAAGTAACATATAGTTTTGAGATGTGCATTTTTGGTCCAAATTCGCGATAACTACACGCACTCGACATGGAATTTATGTGAATAACCGTATAATATGTCCATACTGCTGATAGTAAACTGATTTGAAGTTTTCCACGCCAAACTCATGATCATGTACAGCACTCTGGCACTTAAACCTCCTTTAGACTGGGCGGTGTCCTTTCTGCGTCCTTTGTGCGATCGTGAAACTGTCCAGGTGGCCGTTGGACGCTCAAAGAACGTTCAAGCATCGCCGATGACATTTGGCTTCTTTTGACGATGAAGTTCTTGTCGCAGTTTTTGCAGAATGCGTCCTTTGAAAACGGATTAAAATTCTGTTTTTCAGTCAACCTTTCTCGTCTTGGGTGCCTGTCCATCCGTCTTATAAGCACAACAATGATAATCTGGCTTATTATCAGGTCATGCTGACCTTTCATCACTGAAGTTTGAAAAATAAGTTTATTACTAATTATATGTTTCGTTTTCTGAAGATTTTCTTAATTGGGTGACCTGGGTGACCGGGTTAGAACTGATATAAAAATATAAAAGAGTCAGAATATAACGAGGGACTCCAAAAGAACGCTAACCGGTCTAGAAGGAGGCAAAATGGTTGCCACTGATCGCCGATGAGGGAACAGAGAACGCAACGGGGATATTCAATGGTCGCTCATTCATCGCGATGGACGCATTGGGTTGCACAGGGGACGCAAAGGGGAGGCAGGCAAGTCGCTCAGCAGACGCACAGGTCGCTCAATAGATGCACCGGTCGCTAGCAGTTTTACAGGTAAAATCAAGATTCAGTCGTTCAAAGGACGCAAAAAAGACGCCTTTACACTGAAACACGATTTAATTGGAGACCGTTGAGCGTCCGGACCACATCTTTTATCCCACAATAGACGCAGAAAGGACATTTATACCATGAGCATAATCTCAAGCATTTATTTGTGTTAATTCGTTAATTTTTAATAATCCGTGTGACGTATGTGTGTGCATGTGTGCCTGAGAGAAAGAGAGAGAGAAAGGTAGAGTAGGTGTGCAACTAAGTTTTAAGCACACTTGGCAGTCAAGTTATCTTGTTACTGTTATTAGTTCGTTGTATTGTTAAAATCGTGTCCCAAATAGTATTCTATAGGACAAAGACGAACTCTGGTTTGCCATTGTACCATATGATATATTATATTGTACTGTTCACTGTCTTAAAAGGTGTGCATCAATAGGAGCTATGAGGATAAACCCAAGAAAGTGAATAATCTACCCCTGAGTTACTCTATCTATGAATCTACGAAAACTAAACTTACGCACTTGCCTGAGTTAGTGACCGATTGCAATAGAGCTCGGGCAATATTTGATCCTAAGCTGTAAGGTTGAGAAACATGAGACTTCGTGAACATAAGGAACGATTATGTAAGCCCGATATCTCTTGATAACATTCGATAATTTTAATGTAAATAATCATTTAAAAATTAGCAACTGGATTGTAGTGAATCACATGAAAATCTACACGAATCATATTTTAGATACTGCACTGAGCGTTGAGATGCGTATGTGCGATAGGCCTATTAAGCAATTCGTGATATGCTCATTTCAGTGTTTATCAAGATGTCAGCTTCAAGCGTGGAAGAAATGTTGGCAAGGGCCGAGCGTGCGAACAAGGCGACCAACAGCGTAGATGATACCATAAAGGCGTACAGCCGGTGGGCACCTACCTATGATACAGATCACGGGGTGAATATTTCAATAACGCTTATTGGTTATAAATGGAGGTTAACTTATATCTTGTATTACCAGTAACTAGTTCACAATATCGAAAAGAAGACAGGATGCTGTGCAATGTTTTATACACTGATATACGCACAAAGAACAGCCATACGTGCATCCGTGGTTTTTCACTATTTGTTTTTTCTCAAATTTTGAAAAAGTCAAAATATGTAATCTGTAATTATTAAATTGAATAGACCAAGAGATATTGTGGTATTGTTTGAATATGTTGAAGCTGTCCTCCAAAGTTGCAATGGTACCGAACGATACAGTACAGTATTAATAAACCATATACAATTAAGCGAAAACACAAGTATAATAAATAATCGATTACTTTACAGTTCTTCCCGAGCAAAGGACCAAGTGTTGTTGCCCGAACAGTGGACCTATTGTTTGGCGGCAACAAAGATGCTTTGATATTGGACGCAGGAGCTGGGACTGGAGTAGGAGGGAAAGAGGTACTGCCGTGCAAGTCTTCCTCTTTATATACATGTACGTCTTAATCTCTTCCAGCTTTGAAGCACTGTTCGCGCAAAGGCCACATGTATCTCCCCAGCGGCCATAGTGAGTGCTTTACTCAAGTCAGAAAAAAAGGTGTCGGTCTTGCATCATCTCTCAATAAGTTTATGTTTTGAAAACCAGATCATGCTGCGAGTGGTTGTGACGGCATTTTTGACGAGGTTTAGAATCCAAATAAAAATAATTGCTGTTTGCTGTTTGGAGGAGGAAGTCATAATATTATATCCAATTTGTTTTTGAAATTTCAATTTTGATGATAATGTTTTTAGACTCTTATCCTCAGGACGTCTTCGTTTTATTTACAGCTTCAAAACCTTGGATTTACAAACCTGGAGGCTTTGGATGGTTGCCAGGCGATGTTAGACATAGCCAATCAGAGGGGAGTTTACAACAGGACTATTTGTGATTTGTTAGGACCAAACAGATTGGATGTCGATTCAGGTGATTCAAAATGTGATTTATAGTTTGCTACTTGAAACATGACTTTATGTTAATGGGTATATTAATATGGCGGTCGTCAGTCAAAATAAGCTATGCCCGTTTGAAGGGGTCATGGATGGACATTTGATAGTTTTAATACGTCCATATGGGCAAACCCACAGACTTCACCTTTGGCTGCCTGTATACAGTGACATTTTGTTTGTGTCACATACTAGAATCGATGGGATCCATCCATTGATATACAGAATGAATATCTCGTATCGGAATGAAGTGGAAAGAGTGAGTGGAAAGAAACGGGCGATATGTAAGCTCATTAATTAGTTCTATAAGTTTTAGTTATTTAACTTAAAAAATTGACATTTAACATTTTTAGACTTTAGACTTATGTATGTTTTTGATATCTATATATCTTTATTTTTACGGGCTATTACGACTGTGTGGTGTGCGTTGGAGCTATGGCGGCGGGCAATGCCAATGCTGGTTGCCTTCCAGAACTGATCAGGATAACAAAATCTGGTATGTTCTTGTATATGTATGTGTGTGTGTTCATGACTCGATCTGTGTAAGTGTGAGGACATGCGTTTGAAAGCTACATATATCATTCTTTTGCACTTTCGCTATGGCTTTGAGCAAGGGAAAATGTATTTTGACGGTCGAACTGTTTCTATTGTCATATGCATCACTATGATGTTTGAATAAAATATACAAGGTATTCGTCCCTCTATCTATATTATTACAATGATAACAAAACCCATGCTATATACATCAACTGTATTCAGCTGTTTTAAATCATGGCGAATAAATCTTTACAGGCGGGTATGTTGTCATAGCAACGAGAGAGATACACATCCCAGAATGTGGGTATGACGGCAAAAGTTGGGACGACTGCTTGAAGATTCACGAAGACAACGGGCTGTGGAAGAAAGTGGAAATAAAGAAAGTCGAAGACTATTTTTGCGACCACATTGGCATCATTTTCATTTACCGCATCATGTAAAGACCAGACCCACAGTTTCAGTGTGATATCTGTAAATGGTACATTTTGAGAAATGTTAACGTAGGAATGCGTACCAATCGACTGCCGTTCCATTGCTTGATATGCGGTGAATCATCTGGGTAGTTTTCTGAGGGCTGACCTAGGCAAATAATTGTAACAATGCATGTTATGCTGTATAGTGTATCTGTGATTACTCGCCAAATCAACCGCAATCGACAAAAGCGAACCAATGGAACCAATGGAATTCTTCTGACTTGTGATTTCACTTGAAAACGAGGCAGTGTTTATAAACAACGGGAATGCGTGAAAATTCATTTTAAAAATGAAGTTTGCGACGTTGCAAGCCTTGCAGACTTGGATTTTTGATTTTTTTCATAATAGAACTGTAAAATATAATTGACAAAAAAAAAACATGTTGTAAAGCCTATTGAAAACCGTTAATTTGCAATAAAATGAAAAAAAATGCGTTTTTTAAGACTTTCGCAGGTTTTAAACGCAAGATACTAAAACTAAACGCATACCTTTTTGATATTTTGTAATTTTCTATGGGGGGAATTTCTTTACTCATTTGCTTAAATTTCTCGATTTGTTAAAGGGATTATAACCGTTCGTTTTGGTCAAAAAATGAATGTTCACGGAGTATACAACAAATTTCCCATACTTACAAATGGTTAACGAATCCATGTGTACATTCAAAGTTTTTTCCAACAGTTTGGTTCTCCCCTATAAGAGATTATTATAAGAGATAATTACAGAGTATAACCATCAATGGAGGTCACGTGGTCTGATGACAAGCTCAGATATACGAATAATAGCTATAACTCCCGTGTTTGTGGTTAAGCAGAATATATTTCTATGAGTTGTTTACAATGTTTTTATTGTGAAATATAGATCTCATACGAAGAGTTATAATCCCTTTAAGTGATACAATTGGGGGGGGGGGGGGGGGTGTTCGGGACTTTTTGTGGCATCAATTTTGAAATAAATGTTTCTTTTTTATTGATATGGATGTCTCCGTTCTTTCATTGTTCTTTTGAGAAAAATCTTGCTTACACTTTATGGTATGTCTGGTGCCATGGTCAACCCGACCCTCGGCGACTTACCTTGTATGATGTCAGTTTCAGCGTTAGATTTCTTGCGCATAGAAAAACATGGGATGCAGCAAGAAATCGGACACTTTATGGTACGGTACGAAAATGATACACCATGGGAAAGAGAAGTGATGTTTAGCATTTTTGAATCAACTACAAATATGTTCTACCAAGTTAGGTGTATATAGTTTCATCAAATGAAATGTTAAGAATCCAATCAATTACCAAATTTCATTAAAAACAAAGATGGGCAGCAGTGACCAATCAAACCACGATCCTTTCGAAAAGAATTTCAAACAAGCCAGTACAATGGCTGATTGCTGATATATAAACGCGCACACACCTGTCAAATAACAATGTTTTTTACACCACTAATAAACCAAAAACTTCACGTATATTGCACAGTATTGGACCCAATATTGTTGCTGCATCATTTGACTGGATCGAGGCAAGGATAGATAGGTTTTGGAAAAAAATGACATAGCAATTATTGATTAGTTTATCTTAGAGTTGACCTTGATTTGGTATAAGTAATGTTCACACGCAGACAACTTTTAAATACCGATGTTTATTTTATGCATCACCATATAAACTAAAACCTTGCACCAGTATTGGACCTAAGGGACCATTCCCAGACCCCATCATACTAACTGTGGATCGATCTATCTCCTAGGGGATTCTCGCTAAATAGCAATTAACTTAGGCGGCTTAGATATCTGGCACGTCCAATAAAGCTGCTAAACGATAATTAATTACCCCCTTGCAGCATCTAACCCGCTTAAGGTGGAAGCAATTTCACGAGAAACCCACCGGAGATAAATCGATACTGTTAGATCGATCTAGGTATGGGAACCCAGTCTAATAGTGTAGATGCTTTATCTGACTGTTTCGAGAACTGGATATACATGGGTTTGAAATTTTGATATTTTGACATAGAAATCAGTGGCTATACAGGGATAGCTTATAGTACAATTCAACTAAACTTGTGATGTGTGATGACCAACGAACTTGATGTCTTTTTACAGTTTGGATAAGAGACTGGTCACGTGAGATAAGACTAAACTGACCAAAGCCAACCGTATGGAAACTTTAGCAAAATTGCAACTGTCGTGTAACGAATCCGTGATGCTGCTTAGTGGTCATTTTACTGCTTATGTAACCCAAGGATTGTACAAAGGCTTCATGATAGGTTGGGATTCGACAGGCAGTGCGATCTGCCTCCATTAGGTCATTCTCCCAAATCTTCCCAGTTTGCTATTAATATTCTACAATTGCTTCTGGATAAATCAGCACCTACTTAAGATCAGCCCACCCCCTCCCCGAGAAAAAAATCCCTGACTAGAGTTTATTAAACAACGTAATTAACACCCTGCGTCACTGAGTCGTGTTTCATGAAAAATCTAAAAGGCTGCTTACCTCATTTTTATTGCAAATCGACGAAGCCTAGCCTCCTGCTATTTCTCAACCTTTTTTTCCTCAAGTGAAAACGTTGTATGTAAACAAAATTTATCATTATGTGAAATTACAGTTATTCATTTTGTAAGTAAAAACACTGAAACATGCAGGGTTTTTTTCCGTTCAATAATTTTACTTGTCCGTGCATGTGGTATACATGTTTGCGGGTCTTCCTCAATGCGCAGATCTGAATTGCTATTGTGGATATTAACAACTAATACATGCGGTACATTTCCGTAAAAATATATCACTTTTGTTTTTCTTTCAACAAACAAATGCGTGCTATACGGGCTGTCCCTTCGACATTTTTTCTGGCCTTGTTAAAAGTACACGCAGGCCCTCTTAAGTATTATGAAGCGAAATTGTATACCCTGTTCATACATAAATTATCAACGCCAATTTAATAAACTACACGAACTGAACCCACATGCAAATTAAAAAAAAAAATCTCCCAGGCTGCAATAAAAGGGTTTCCAGCTTTTCGTTCTCTAAATGGCTGCATGTACCCCATGAAATTACTACCCTTCTTCATTTATTTATGCAATGGAAGAGGATTTTCATAACAAAAAACGTGCAATTTAATTTCAGGCATTTTCAAAATGTCCACAACACGCCAGGCGGAGGTATGGGCTAAGATTCATGCTGCCAACTCGGCGATCAATACCGTGGAAGAAAACTTGAATTTCTACAGCCTATGGGCAGCACACTATGACCAGGATTCGGCAGTATGAATTGTTTCATAAAAATACGCTTCATTTTTTGTATGATTTTGCACTCTTAATGCACCCCTATCTCTTTATGTTTAGTTTATTTATTAATGTAGTCTAGTACAATTTATCACAAGACTGACGCAGAGCAGACAAGTCATTTTTACTTTACTATATTTAAAAAGCGCGAATTCATTTGCAGGAAATGCTACCCAAAGGACCAATAATTGCTGCTGAAGCCATAGCTTCACGTTTTGGGGAAGACAAAGATGCTTTCATATTTGATGCAGGGGCTGGTACTGGACAGGTCGGAAAAGAGGTTTGTCTTGTCTTTGCTCAGCCTTGAACTTAGAACAAACATTAAAAGAAAACACCCAATGCTGTTTAACCCCTAAATTTTCATTATATAATGATTAAGTTTTTTTTTTATTTTTGATTATTGATTATTGATTGATTAATGATCCTGATCACTTGTTCCTTGGCCCACTTCTGACAGTTTCTGAAAATTTTATCAAAATCGGATCATTACTTATTTTTTTTTTGGTTATTGATTGATTATTGATCCTGATCACCACCAAAAACTTATCATCTGTTCCTTGGCCCACTTCTGACAGTTTCTGAAAATTTCATCAAAAATCGGCCAACAACTTTTTCTGTTGTGTTGCTAACAGACAGACAGACAGATAGACAGACGGACAAACAAACGGAGCCAAAAACATAACCTCCTTGGCGGAGGTAATAACGGGATCAAGTTACCATTTGTGTGCCCAAAAGTCATTTTTTATCAATTAAAATTGATTACGTTTTATGAGCTTTTACAGATTTTATACAGGTGTGAGTCTAGTTTAAGATACGACCGCGTGGTGGCGCTGCTAGGGAGTAGGCTAAGCGTGTGAAGACATTCTATATTCAGGTAGATTTAGTTTCGGGTGCGGTAACTTCACTCCAGTCTTTCAACAATTATTTTCACACAAAACAAGAATAAACCCCTGAACAGGGATATTATTTATAAACAAACAAAAACAAAAACTACAGTTCCATGTTTACAGTAAGGATTAGGTAGCAGAGCAGCTGAACTAGTTTTCTCACACGTGCCGGACCTGTAAGCAAATGTGTATCAGTTAACATTTTGTGTTTAGAAGAAAGCAGAAGAAAGCACTGTTTTTAATTTTGGGTTGGGAACGTTAAAGGATTGGCGTGGATTTCCCAACCCTACCCAATAGATTTGTGTCGATCATGGTTTTTATGTATTTTTATTTTCAAATGTTGGTTCGTACATATACAACGTTTTTGAACACACAATCCTGCACCGAACTATTGATACGACTGACTAAAGAAAAACACATTGCAAAATTACAGCTTTAAATGCTTGTATGTCAGTATCTTACTTGCTGGGGAGGTAGTAGAGATAAAATAGTAATCTGTCATGCCCGATCTTCCTTATTACTATTTGTTAATGTCAATTTTTTTGAGGTGGACCTTGACCCAAGGTATCAAGCGAAGTTCTTTGAATGTTTATATGCCTAAGTCTTCTAAATCAAATAAAAACAGGTTGTTGCTTTTTACCACAAGGTTCAAAATCTTGGATTCAAAAACCTGGAAGCTCTCGATGGATGTCAGGAGATGCTAGATGTAGCCAAGGAATTTACAAGAGGAGTATTTGTAATTTGTTAGGACGAAATAAACTGGATATTGAAACAGGTAATCTGGTTTTTCACATCATTCAATTTGTCCTAAATCGTAAGCACAGTTTGAAAGAAATTTCATCTCTTATGTTCCGAGTCACGATATACGTTTACCGATCGCATAGCGCATTTTGAATTACTTAATATTAGCATTTCATAAAGTGATAAAGGCATAAATGATGACGACCTTTGATGTTGCAATAAGAAAGGTGGGTTGGATTATTGTCCTAAAATGTATAACAATGCATGTAACAAAATCAGCTAACTTATTTTAAATAGTTTATTTGGATTAACTCTTTAGAAAGAGAAACTACCTAATCGTGTCCACGCAAATGTTATAAAATATAATAACATAAGCCTTAAACTTGAAAACGTGCGGTGTGGTGAAACAAAATGCAGTTTGTAAGAAAATGAAACGCATTAGAATAATAAAATGATACCAGAAAGGTATTCCCAGTAACGTACGTATATATATATATATATATATATATATATATATATATATATATATATATATATATATATATGATAGATTACTATAGGAAGGTATGGAAGATGAAATGTTGCGTGCTTTATTAGTAGCATTCTGCTTGATCTAGATTATAAGTGGCCTTAAATATGGCATTTTGTGTCAAAAATTATGTAGAAAAACACTTGTTTTTTCTAACATTAAATACCATCCTTAATAATTTGCAGGATATTATGACTGCGTGGTCTCTGTTGGTTGTTTGGCGGCGAACAACGTCGATGCGAGCTGTCTTCCAGAACTGATTAGAATCACCAAGCCAGGTATGAAAGTCTCAGAAACAATGTTCGGTTGTAAAAAGTGTCAGTCTTAGTAAACAAGTATCAGCATTCGTGGAACTCAAGGGTGGTAATGGGAGGCATTCGAGATAAGGTAATACATTGCACCTGAGTATGCATGACGTCATACAAAAATATAAAAATTACGAACGGGTGTAGGTTCTTAATTTTTGCGATGAGGGTGAAATATTTGGGAATGCCTTCTCAAAGCTATATCAAGGTAACACCTAAAAAAATTGGGACGACTGGCTGAAGATTCACGAAGACAACGGGCTTTGGAAGAAAGTGGAAATACGGAAGGAAGACAAATATGTGGCCGATGTAGCTACGGGCATCGTTTATGTATACCGGGTCATATAATTAGAGAGAGCTACCAGTCGTACTGCCCAGTGGACTAATTTGCTTTAATTTATCACTCTTGCAGAGTTGAATCATTGGTACTTGTATCTCTTAATGATTGCATTCTTATTATCATGTATTTGCTGCAGTAAGCACGTGTGAAATTTAATGATTCTATTATACTGATTTTATTTATGCGTGATTGTTAAAAAAGAATGTAAAGTTAATACTTATAGAAAGCAAAAACAACCAGTAAAGATTTTTATTTATCAGCCTGTATACCTTGCGGATGGAGAATTTAACATGATTGAGTTCTCATGTGTGTGGGTGATTTAGTTTATAGATATTGTTCAGGATTTAAGTATCAGGTAATCATCAAACCAGAGTATTGCTTTGATGAATCCTGCAATGGAAATAATTTGATCAGTGATATTTATAATTATAGAAATAGATCAGTTTACTATACGCACCAAAGAAAGTTAGAAAGAGGCAACTTCTAGAGGTACAGAGAGTAAGCTGCTTGGAGTTATACATTTAGCACCTTTAAAAGGAAAATTTGGAAATAGAATTTACATAAGACACATCACGTGAAAATCGGTGTTTGGCTATCGTTTGGGCGTGGTAGTCAAAAGGGTGTAAATAGAGACCACTGGCTCTCTTTTAACACTTACCTACACTTACCTTCTTACTTACTGACTTACTATTTACTTATTTGCTACAGTTCTTCGTGGGACTAAAGTATCGTCGGCTACAGTGATCTCCAGGCTGCTTATTTTCGCATAGCTACTTTCTAGACAGTTGCTACTAGCTTGGAGTATATTTATCAATAGTTATACTCACGAAATAAAGACTTTACTGGAAGATCAGTGACTTGTCCGTCTTTTGATTATCACCGAGAGAGAGATTTATAACGGGAATAGACCCCCACGCACATATACAACAAATTCGGTTGATAATTCCAATTCCTTTTTGATCATTTTTGTCAGTAGGACATACTAGCAGCAATATCACACACACACACACACACACACACATACATATATATATCAGAGTCCTGAAACAATACATGAATATCACTGGTAGAATAAAAGAGATTTTGTCAACAATACAGAAGAAAGCAAAATAAATATTTTTAACCATAAAATGTCCTTGTAACGAAATATCTCTTTATAATAATTTTCTCTGACATTCATTTTCGGAAGGCGCCATGGATCTCAGCACGCTCGAGGAATGGAGTGCTTCATTTCTTTTGTTTCACCAACACTGTTGACAAACAATTTAACTTACCTTTTTTGACCATCAGCGGACTCTAACGTTTGTCTTATCTTTATCTATTCCGGTCAATAAATACCCACACCTGACACCGCACGGGCAGGGACCATTCCCTCCGATCTAATATTTGGACCAAAAGCAGTGATGCACCATGTCAATAATCAATACACGTTGATAGACCTTCAATCTTCAACCCGCATACTACCTCTTTAAGCGCCATATACCACCTGCACTGGACTGCTTCTCTTCTTTTCATTCTTTAACCAAATGTTTTGACAGTGCTTGCAAAGAAACATAGGTGAGTTTATATATTATAGGCAGTAGTCTGCGCTATTCTGTCATTCAGCTACGAGAGTTAAATGTTACTGTTTTATTTATGTTTTACAGAGAGCCCTGGACTGCAGGATTGAGTCAGTTGGGATTCGACAATGACTTGATTAATTTAGACGAATTCGTTGATTCTTTTAAATATTTAATATTGAATTCGGGAGATACAATTTCATCCTACATATACATTTCGGCAACATTGATTGCGATGATGACTTTTTATGCAGAGGGTCGAGTTGGCTTGCGCACGCAGCAATATCTTATTAGGCCATGGATGGGACTATTTCTGTGGGGTTTATTAAAGACAAGAATGACATAAAGCCACAGTGAAACACCATGTGTAAAGTACCTGTCAGTATGCAATAAAAACAGACTGCCTATTAGAATATCCAGATAGATTACAAACAGCTTGAAGCGCTGGTCTCCGACAATTATCAGTACACCGCTATGTTTAACAAGTAAATTTTAATAGGCAGCGACACATATCCAATATTTAATCAACGGTGTTCTAACATACAGTCAGCAAGGGCTTTAGATGAGTTTTTTGACAGGCATTAGCAATATATTTTGCTCTTGATGTCAAATGGAGTGATGTCCACTGTCGATGACGATATATCTTGATCAACACACCCCGAATATTGTCACTTCCAAAGCCATTAACTGCCGCCTGCATCAGGTTATTTTTCTTCTCTTTTTGCATTTTATTAAATATGTCATTTTCTCATCTTAGTCAATGGAAACCCGTATGTATGAGGTCTTCAGACATATTGAAATGGAGAGTTAAATAATACTCCTTCATTGCTTGTTTCAACGGAGTCATACTGTGGACACAGACACCCCCCCCCAAAAAAAAAAAATAATAATAAAGATAAAATAAATAAATAAATAAAATAAATAAATAAATAAATAAATGTTCTCCAAATGGCTTTCGCGGTATTGGAGGTACACTTGCAGAAGTCGTGCAAAATTGTTAATTTCTCGAACTTAAAAAATAACTTATGCGTGTTAATTCAAGCATAAAGGTACGACTGAATAATATTAATGATACGATTCAACCTAGAAGTCATCACGATCGTCAATTTAGCGTTAACACATGATGCGGGCGCCAAGTATAATCAGTCAGTCATGTTGCTCACATTTCAAGCTTATAATGTCACATCGTATATGATAGAATAAAACACAAGACGGAATGTTTCCTTACCGTCAGCTAACAGCCAACCTGGGCTCCGTAACTCGAAAGCATCACAAATTACGACCGAGCGCAAGCGCCTCTTTTCCATAACTCGGCATTTACTAGCCCTATATAATAGCCTCGAAATAAAAGGTGTTATCGCTTTTGCAATTCGCAATGTTTTCGAGCCCTATATAATAGCCTCGAAATAAAAGGTGTTATCGCTTTTGCAATTCGCAATGTTTTCGAGTTACGGAGCCATGAACGTACGCGTAAGTCTTCATTATTTAGTAAACATTTTACTCACTAGGTGGTTTAGCGGTCCAGACCATCTTTTAAAAGTCCGGTGGATCGACTCCCCGTCGCTAATAGCAAGCTACTGGGTAATTTTGCTTATATGAGAGTAAGTATCGTTTACTAAACTTCTCTATGTGTGTGCATGATATGACAAACGATATCACAAATTGAATCCTACTGAACATATACTGTGCGCTCATAATGTTGTCATGCCGTGGTTGCATTATTTATAACTTATCACAATACGCATTTGAACGACAAGCCATCTTATGTAATACATGCTATGTCTGCACCAAAGAACTGTGAACAGGCGCCGCTATCTGTGGTGAGAGTGGAGGGTAAGTTAAACGATTAATAGGGTAAGTATGGTGGGGGGGGGGGGTCTGTAGCTTCAATTTGTCCTTCTTTTTCATATTAGACTTCTTTTTCATATTAGACTGTTCTATGGTGTATAAGTGCACTTTTGTAAACTGATAAGTGAGGAAACTGGAGCACATGCTCCAAGCACTGTGTAATGACGACAGATATGGAGTGTCTTGTCAGACTGTATATAGGGTTTAGAGAAGGATGGAGGGCACTGGTGATGTCCATAAGTCACCAAGAAGACTTATAGGGTATTTTAACTGTGCAGCCAATTAGTTTTGCACTTGTTGCGCAATTTACAGGTTGAGGTTATTAAACGAAATATTCAAAGGAGTCCAAATGTTACAGGAATTCACACTCTAGTCGCCAAGAGGAAACTACTTATCACCTTCATAAAAAGGCGAAAAAGAGGGCTGCAAGAGCTATTTCATAGACCACAGGTCACAGCAGGCGCCATTTCGTATTTTCTGGCGATACCGTAGTCGCCCCTTAACATCGTTAGTGGACAGGTGAGAGTATGGACAACACCACCATTTTTACAAGCCAGTGAATATGTATTTCCCCGCTAAGTAGCTCAGTTCCACAATGGTTTGGGGGATGCGTCTGGTACTAAGGAATTGCTGAACTGGGGTTGATGCCTTGAAACCAAAACCATATGAGCGTTACATTTAAATTCTGAACTAACACATTTTACGGTACCTTCGGTAGAAAACATCTTTGGGATAGGAACCATCCGTCCATTTGAAAGATAGTAGCACTACAATATACAGGGCCAGGACTGTAAGAGCGTGACCTTATCGGCATGGCATCAACAGGCCAGGGTGGATTGGCCAGCCAAATGACCAGACGCAATTAAAACGTGAGACGCAATTTAAACGTGTAATCACTGAAAACGTGTGGAATGAGATTGGAAATGCAAATGGCAAAATATCTCTCCATTAACCAGAAGCGCTTTAACCTATAATGTACTTGAAGCCTGAGCAAACGTATCCCCCGGAAGATTACTGAACCGTTGTCATTGTTCGCCCAGAAGGATGGTGACCGTATGGAGATATGGTGGCTATCCTATAAAATATTAACACTGGCATATTGATAACGTGCGTCACGTTAGGGAAAACAACAGGCCTGTAAACTTGTAGTGAAGTTACTGACATAAACAGTTTTCCATTAAATACTAACTGAAAAACCTAGCAAATCCAGATATTGTTCACCTTAAGTATACAGCAAAATGCTGCAATACTTCTGTCACCACGTGCACCTGTACACCCTATTCTCCAACAAAATTCAGAAACCCCTTGGTAAGAATAGCAACACCAACATGTTTTGTTTGAATAAAGTGTCTTCGTGGCCGGCTGTTCTAGCACCACTAATAAAGAGAATGATTTGGAATTGTTTTAGTTAAAATTAAGTTCAATATATATTCTAATTTCAGATACAAACGCCTTAAGAAATAATATCTGGAGGTATGGGAGACGTACCAGGCACATCATTCCATTCTAAGACCACGGGACACGTCTCACGCAGTGTTAAATCATTGTGCACAGTCGCCACTAACGTCATCATAATAGTTTCATCCATTTTCTCTTTATTCATCTTTGTGAAGTTAACAGGATTTTACGAACAAAACCGGATATCAATTCCCTGCCCAAAAGCTGCAGCAAAACACAGATTGCAGGAAAGCCAAAATATAACGTATTCGTCAAAGGGAGTTGACAAACCTCCCAACAAACCTAAGCTGGTAATTTTCTGGTATCCAGGACCAGGGTGGGACTACATGCTCCTAAGAGACTACGCCAAGCCGGTCTTTAAATCCCTTGGCTGTAAAATAGACAACTGCATCTACACTGAGGATAAGTCTTTAGCTGATGAAGCCGACGCCATTGTTTTTATAGCGAGAAGTTTGGGGAGTAAACCAAGAAAATTGCCACACCAGCGTTGGATATGGGTGAACCACGAGAGCTCGTGTTATTCCGAAGAGGCTGGAGGTGTTTGGGCGGGGATGTTTAATTGGACCATCACATTTCGAAGAAACTCAACGATATTTTTCCCATATGGTTACGCCCAAAAACGACCGAGGCCTCTTACTAAAAATTACACTAAAACTGCGCTCAACAAAACTAAATTGGTCGCCTGGATGGTCAGCAACTGTGTGACACGGAGTCAACGAGAGAGATATGTCTCCGAACTTCAGAAATACATCCCTGTTGACGTGTACGGTGCGTGTGGCCCCTTAAAGTGTTCGAAGCGCGATGATAAAAACTGTTTGGACAAAATTAACAGGGACTACAAGTTTTACCTGTCCTTTGAGAATAGTATCTCAACGGATTACGTCACAGAGAAATTTTGGAAAATGTTGGATCGTGACATAGTGACGGTAACAAGAGGTCCGGCCAATTATTCCAGGGTTGGAATAAAACCCGAGTGGCACATCAATACGAACGATTTTAAATCTCCCAAAGATTTAGCAGACTATCTGAAATATTTGGACATGAATGTCACGGCGTATGTTAAACATTTAGAGTGGAAGAACCAGTATGTTGGACTGTATTCGAAGGCAGAGGTATACTGTGACTTATGTGCCAAATTAAACGACCCCAGTGAACCGGTGACATGGTACCCGCCGGGCGAGCTGAACAAGTGGTTTATTGACGGGCATTGTATTCCTCCAAATGATTTGGATTTTAACACTTAAAGGCACAGGCCCCGATACCAAGACAAAATTGAGAGTATCAGATAGAAGGTTAATGTAGGCTATAGTTATTACACATAATTGGCGTGATTAAAACGAATGTTACACATCAACAACAGTTTTACTATCCAAATCAATAAGTATTTACCCTTATGCCCAATGGAATGAGCTACGTTATAAAATATTCACAGGGGGGTAGATTTATTTACAGGCACTTAGAATTACAATATACACTTCGAATCAACTAACCCCGGAGATGTACATACAATGCATTATTAATATGTTCTCAATTCATACTGCTCTTATCAGCATACTATTGCGTAAAATATGTCATTTAAGTCAATTCTGTTGCGGATGACAACGAAGGCGAGAATCCCAAGAAAATCCGTATCCTCAATTCATCGCTTCTTTGATGGTGATCTATTTTTAAGAACATTTTCAGTAAAACAAGCTAGATATACAGGGGCCGGTTTCACAAAGCAGTAGTTAGTTAGAACAACTAACTACTGAACTACCTCGCTAACGAGCAAACTTAGCGATTTTAGAGGGGTGTTGCACGAAGCAGTAGTTAAGTTATCGCTAAGTTCAGTCGTAAAGTTCGGTCGTTAGTTCTCTCGTTACTCACCGTAGTCTCAAAACCGTCTGCCGGAAGTGGAACTCTTGCGTAAAAGTGTCACGAAAGCACTAACTCTCCAATTTTTGGTGGCTGGAAATGCATAAGAACGTCTTCTTTGAGGTCGTCGTAAAGGATCTCCACCACCTTTTTGCCGCTCTTTTTGTCACAGCTAGGCGCAACCTCTCGTAAATTGCATCATCGTGTGTATATTCTAATAGATTCTGCCTTTTATGAAAACGTCGTAATCTACGTTGCCGTCTGGCGTACGGATAGCAAGAAAGGTAGCCGTCATATTGGATACAAAGACAAACGACAGACAACGGTAACTAAACAACCTTTTTATTTCACTCATTACGCATGCGTACGATGAAACTCTAGAGTTAGCGACTGGTCGGACCAGTCGTTAAATATCCAAGGTAACAACGAGACAATAACGAGCGAGAGAACTATAGCGACTACTTCGTGAAACGGCACTATAACTAGCGAGAGGCTAACTACCGATCGCTAACTACTGCTTTGTGAAACCGGCCCCAGGTTTCTGACATAAACTGTTAAAATCCCTTCATTAGACTGATAGAACAACTTCGTGCAAACATAAGAAATGCTGTTAAACTTATTTTTACACTAGCTGATTCTAAAACAAATATGTTTTTAGCAATATCAATATTTTTAGATACGGTTTTCGGAATCTACTGTGCGCACCTACATTTTCTTGGATTTTTGATAGCAACAAGAAAAAAGAAAACGCATATTTCACAACATTTGGACATATTAAAGTGTTTTTCTTTATCCTGAAACAGATATATTCATATAATAGCATAATATATAATATGCCAATGATTCTGCATTGTCGAGACTTACGATATTAGCTATGGTTCAACATATTAACAACAAACTGTGATATAATATCCCTTGATACAGAATGAAAGCAGTTGGTGTTGATGCATGAAAGTGTGTCTAATGCTGCCCAAAGTGTAACATTTACTGTTCCATATCGGTGCTGCTGGTAGAAGCGGCGGTCTTATTATATAGGGTAGGCTTATCATACGTGATGCACATGGGTGGTGTTACTGCTTTGATCACACAGACCGAAAAAATATTAACACGCAAGTGACGTCAAATCACTTAAAACTTTTGAATGGTGCAATTTTGACATCAATTATGCCAAAGACAGAGTTCATGATTCCATCTAAACACGAATGATGATCACTTGTTCAATGTTTCACAAACAGATTCAGTTTCACTGCTTAAAGATATAATTTCTAAGGTGCAGTCTCATGTTCGTGGCGTATGCAACATTGCACTTTAATTACTTGTATGTAAGCCTCATGTGGTATCTCTGTACCTTAAACAAGATGTGGGGACCTGATATTATCATGGTGTATTTGTGAAAAAAATTATTAAGATTGAAGTCAAAATTACAGACAAATTAAACGGTGGAGGCACTGTAGATTATGTATATAAGGTAATTATGAAACATATAATTACATTTGTGTTTGAAAGCCTGATATCACATAAGTGGGATAATAGGTCTAGATATATATTGCATGTATGTATAACACAAGTAGTTTAGAGGGCCTGCAAAATGTACTGAAACATTTTAGTGCTCAATAATTTATTATTATTATTATTATTATTATTATTATTATGTAGGCATAAAAGTCTGTTTAAATATTATTAAAGAGGGGCCGCTCTCCGGCCATACCTGAGAAGACGTAGGCTTAGCGGGCAATGTACCCGGTAATCAGATGATTTATGAGACAAGTGCCAGGACATTCATTTGCAACTCTCCATGGTCCAAGTATAATACCTCAGGTATCCCGACAGATGTAGTTGGTCCTTGCACTAAAGAACATTTTCAAAGTCTTGACTCCCCAGGGTATAAGATCAGGACAGAGAGTTTTACACTTGGCTGAAGTAAGTGCTCCTTTTTTTAATCGCATAAGAATAAGCTGAGTTTTCTTTTGCTCTAATATAATTGAACCATCTGTTATATGCTATTGGACATCCAAATGTGCTACAATCTGCGTGATCATTTAATGATGTACAGTCAAGTTGAATTCTTTTTATATAAGACATTAATTAATATAGCTATCCTATGTTAAACGACGTCTTCACCGTGCTGAAAATCACTTGGTCGTTCCATGGTGTGCGTTCATGTCGCATAATTAAATCAGCTAACGTCATTAGCATTTACATAACACCCTCTGTCCAAAGGCTCTTATACAAGATTATGTCAGATAATTCAGAATTCATCATATTAAAAATACAATAGAGATAGACACAAACACGTGTTGTATTTTAAACTACCATTATAATGCAATCCTACAATGACCCCGGAATACTTAATGGTACATTTATTGACTTTCATATATGGTGTTTCATATATCTTCTTTAGACGCAACATGGCACAGTTTGTGTTGCTGTTACTTTTGCTGGCTACCATTGCGAGTCCCTGCTGCTCTAAGAAACACATATACCAGGACACAATGATGGTGGGAAGTCCACCACACAGTCAACGAAAGTATGGAAAGATACAGAGGACACCTGCAGATAGAAATGGAGGTAAAACTTAAATCTTCTGTTTTTATTATATTGAATTATATGTATCTTTGTGACTTAAGAAGCCCACAATTCTTATATGTGTTATCAACCTAAGCTTGAGAGGTAATTGGAAACGGTTCATGCGAAATTCGACATGTGCTTAACTTTATAAATTGTTCATTAATATGGCTGTAGTCATTGCATAGACGCGATCAGATAACAATTTACTTTTTTATCACAAATGCGCCTCTTTTAATCGAGAACCGTTCTTTAAAAAAGTATATTTCCTTAAGTACTTCATTCGTTCTGTATTCATTTTTTTCTTTAAACATCACACATTTGCTTTCCTTAGCTGAAGTCATTCGATACATCGGTGGCGATGGCATACCGGATTCATATATAGTAAAACTAAAGGCTGGCCTCTCACGTGGGAAGGGTAAGATGTTTTACTATTAAAAAATCTTTTGTAGGGAATAAGTAAACTGTTGTAAAGATTATGAAACCAAAACGTTCGACTATCTTTACATAGAGAATGGATACTTCTGTAACTCGGCACTTACATGATTTGATAATAACAAACGGTGAATTTATTAAATTGTGAGACAAATGTACATTAACTATACACATAGACAAAATATTCATATATTTACGACATGTATTTTTCTCTTCTCTGTATAAAGAAATTCGCTTGATTACTTAACACCGCACTCATGCTCAAAAGAATGAGCATAAATAAGCATAAATTGAAAGGTGCACTAAAGGTGGCTATAGGTACAGTGTACACTTCAACATACATCTGTATATATTGTTCTTGCAGAGTTCAAATATTTTGATTTTTTTAACATTTCATATTTATTTTAACAGCATTAGATTTTACCAACGCTTTGAAAGCTGAAATGACCCCCACAGCCTTTGGCAACACAAGACGTGGCCGGGGACCGCAGATAGGAAAACTTCATGAAGTAGGGGAAATAAAATTTCTCACAATCGAGACAACCGATAAGTAAGTAATTTGAATTATATGAATTCATCAATGAATGTTTCAAAGCTGATCAGGGTGTAAACTATATGCATACATTTCATGAACACAACAGTAAGTGCAGTGTTACCTTTTTCTCGCAAATAAAATAGGATTTTTTCTTAAATTCAAACAATAATATGTTACTAAAAACTTAAGAAGTTCATAATTAATGTTAAAATAGGGATGTTAGCGAATTGTAAATGTAAAGATTAGCCGTTGGGATACTGCTGGGCAAATTTAAGTACTGGAAACTTAATTGTGTGATCATAAGGTATTAGGAAAAAAATAAGCCAGGTTCCTGTGACAAACCTATGAATGACTATTTGTTGATTATCTTCAGGGGCCTTGCACGACTTCGTAGACAGACAGATGTTGTTGACGTCATTTACCAGGATACCTATGTGTATGCCGACGGCTGCGCATGCCTGGTTGACTGTCAGAATAAAACAGAGGATCTCGGCGACAAACAGTGTTGGTCTTATGATACTAGTGTTTGGGTATGTGTGCCTGTGATCTTGATGTTTTTCCATCATGTTTCCCTTCTGCCTCCCCAACGCATTCCCATCACATGGCATGTTTTATGTACGGAAGAAAAGAAACAAAGATGAATCTTCTAATTGCATGATTCGGCACCAACGAACCGCATGTTATTCGCAGACTTTGTAAAGGAACTGTTAATGGGGCGTCATGCTTCAATATATACCTATCCTGCGCCTTTTCGTTTTCATATTTGGTCCTTTTTCAATTTGATAATATTATTTCCTTACACAGGGTCTTGACAGAATCGACCAGACAACGCGACTGCCTAACGGCAAGTTCAACGTGAAGGGAACAGGAAGTGACGTCGATGTGTATATATTTGACACTGGGGTTTATGCCGAGCACCAGCAATTTTTACGTGAGGACAACACCAGTCGGGTGACATTTGGAAATAAAGCAGACGCCACTTGGTCAGATACAGACATCCATGGTCACGGGACTCATGTTGCAGGGACTGTTGGAGGCATTACCACAGGCGTTGCCAAGAACGTCAATCTGATCAATGTGAAGGTATTGGGCGATCAAGGCTATGGCTATCGCAGCGGAATTCTGGCAATGTTAGAATGGGTGCGTGATCAAGTGAACGTGACAAAACGAAAGTCCATCATCAATATGTCCTTAGGGGGAGTGCAGCAAGACCTTTACGATGATCTCGTCAACACTTTAGTGACCGAGGCTGGAATTGTAGTCGTGGTCGCTGCTGGGAATGATAACTCACTGGCATC